GCAGTCTCTGGGGCCGGGAGCCAGCCAGGATCTGTCCCATGGCCCAGGTGCCTAACCCGGCTGACTCAGGTTATCGAGGGCGCCTTGCCCTGGCTCTGCCCTAAGCGCTGCCTTGGACAGTCTCCATGAAGACCTGTTTGCTTATGTCTATAAGGCACCCAGGCCTCGCTCTAGAATTCTCTGCTTCTGAGGTCACAAGGACAAATCTTAAGGCAACAGATTCCAGAACCCCACGGCTGGATCTGCTCTCACTTTGTGCATTGCCAGCGATGAAGAGAAAGCAAACCTTCTATTTTCCTACTGCCCCTAGCCCACCCTCTCCCCCTCCTCCTGCTGCCCCTTCCCCTTCCCCCTCACCCGGTTTCCCCCGCTGCCTTCTGCCGGACCCCACTCTGGGCCCTTGGCCTGGCTCTCCTCCGGCTCACGCATCTCGCCCAGGCAGGCTCCCATCTCTCACCAGAGGGGCCCCTCTTCACTTGGGGACCCGCAAGACCTGCTGCCTCTATAGGCCCCCTCGGGGCCCCTGCTCCCCCTGCCCTGCCAGTCCCCCTACCCCTCCTGTCCGCCATGTCCGCCTGTCCTCCCTCTCTACTCTTCACTCTTCCTTTGCCCCGCACCCCTCTTCTGGCCCTTCCCTGACCTCCAGCCACTTGGGCAGACGGCTCACCCGCCCTTACTCCCCTCCTGCCCAGTCACCACATCCCCCCATCTCTCCTCTGTTGGGCCGGCCTGTAAACTGTCCCTGGGGCTTGGAGTCCCTGCCAGTGACCACCCGGACCTCTCAAAGCTTTGGGAGTCGGGCACCTGCTGGGCCCAGGGAGCAGAACATGGTGGGCAGCAGCTGCAGGGAACTCTGGGGGGCCCTCCGGCGCTCCAGGAAGCCCCCATCTCCCCAGTGAGTTCTCAGCCCTCTGGCCCCCTGGCCTGTGCCACCGGGTGGACGCCCCTCCTGGAGCTTGGCCCACAGGCCAAAGGCAATGTAACAAGCTCCTCTGTGTCTCCAAGCCGCCATTGGAAGGGGGTGGATGGGCTTGGTGGACTCCGGGCATGTTCCCCTCCCCGTGGCCAAGCACAGTCCCCTCACTCAGGAGGAGCGACTGTGTCCTATGCCTGGCACACACCTTGCTCCCCAAACCAGCCTTCCCAGGAGACAGGGACTAGGGCATCCCTCTGTCAAAGCAAAGACTGCTGGGTGGGGGGAGTGTGGCAGCGGGAGGAGGCGTGAAGCCCTGCTGTGAGGTAGTGGGGTCTGGAGGCTGGGGGAGGAGGCCTGGGACCCTCTGGGGCAAACAAAGCGCCCTGTTCATGATCAGTCGTCCCGGGCACTCGGAGAGCAGCTGCTGAGCTCTGCAGTGGCCATCAGTGCCGCTGGGTCAGGACCTGTTCCTGCAGCCTCCTGGGGATGGGGGAGGAAGTTGCAGCTGCAGGTGAAGGCTGTCTGGAGGGGCCTCCACACCCTCCTACTGACCTTCCCCGCAGGCCCCAGGGCAGCCAGGGCTACTCCCGTTTCCCACCGGTGGCAGAAGCAAGCAAAGGCCCGGCTGGGCCAGATAGCCCGAGACTGGACCACCGGAAATCAGCACCTCACCCTAAGAAGGTGAGTCTGGGGATGCTGACTGAGGATGTGAAGGAGGCCCCTGAACACTCACCCACCACACAGCTGCCTGCCCCTCCCTGGGCCACACTGTGGTCTGACCACAGCCTGGGCTGCCCAGGGTCAGAATTACACTTTCTTTTGGCCCCTGTAGGCGTCTCAGTCTTGAGAACTGCCTTCTTGCGGGTGAAGCCATGCTCTGAAGACACACCCTGAGGCCAGTGCCGCTTCTCCAGGATGCACAGCGTTCGCAGGCCAGGGAGTGCCATCCCTCATGCCCACGGCCTCAAGTTTGCAAACGATTATAAGTGAATGCAGCCTGCCAAGAAACCCCGACCTTGAGCTCTGAGTTCTATGCCAAGAGCAGGTGGGGAAATGGGCAGGGTTGTAGGACCTCGTCCACAAGACCCTTCCTCTCTCTGTCCATCTGGTTTAGGGGTAGGTTCTACCCCGAGTGGAACCTCTGCTGGGCCCTGGTCCAGGCACCCGCTAAAAGCCAAGTAATAAACTGCTCCCAGAGGCTTCAGTGTCCCCAGGCTCAGCATGGCAGGACTCCAGGGGTGCCCCCAGATCGAGGTGGGAGGACTGGCTTTTCCGGGCCTGTGTGCTGTTGAGTCAGGGGAAGAATCTGCTTTCAGAACAATGGTCTGCCCTGCCCACCATGCCCAGCTCTCCCACTCACTCCTTCACCTGACTCATGACCCCCCAATTCCTCTTGTCCATTCTCTCTCTCTCTCTCTCTCTCTCTCTCTCTCTCTCTCTCTCTCTTCACACACACACACACACACACACACACACACACACACACACACACACACAGCAGTTCTCCAAATACATTTGGGTGGCCTTTGCCCACTTCAGACCACACACTGCTCTGTAGTCCTGGCCCCTCCCTCTTCCTGATGGGTAAATGGACACATTAGGCCTGTGTTACTGCCAGAGACCCACATACACTTGTACATTGGGGTCAAAAAGCCCTTCAGTCTCCTGCTCAGTGGCCCAGAA